TATATATATATATATATATATATATATATATATATATACTAGTTCCCACCCTGTTCCACAAATTAGGCCCCAGTTAAGAACTTCACTTTCATTTTCCCTCTTCTCCTGACTTCACCCCAGTGTGACTGGGTCAATATCCAGCTATTAATCACTAGTATTAATAAGCACAGCAGGTCTTTTAGTGATTTTTGTTTTGTTTTGCTTTGTCCATTTAAGCACAATTAATAATTCCTGTAAGTCAACACAATAAGCTAGCAATGGGGAAAATATTGCTATTCAGCTGATTGCATAGGAACAAATCAATTTTATCCTCTCCTTCCCTGCTGTCCCCTCTGCAAACACAGATTGCAGACCCAGTTTGTGCATTAATTGACAGAGCCAACATGCTAATCCTGGGGTACATCCTGTCATCTGGAAAGTAAGCGTGCATGTCTCCAAACAGTTGCAACAAGTGACAGTTTTTGTTTTACATGCTACTTATTCTAAGAAAATTTTTCTGATCTTTGTCTTAAGATTAAGAACAAAATCTATAACCTGACAGACAAGGCCCCGCATCGGGGGTCCAGTCTACATCTCCATCTCAACTGCACCACCATCCCCTTTCCTGTCATCTTCTAGTTTCCCAAGTCACATTTCATTCCCCCATGTTCTATGCTCTTTGCCTGTACAGTAGCTTGGTACATGCTCTTTCCTACCTGTATTTTCTAATAGCTTTATTGAGATATAATTCACGGCCTATACAATGCACCCATTTAAAATATATAACTAAATGCTTTTAGTATATGCATTGGGTTTGCATTCATTACTATAATAAATTCTAGAATGTTGTCATTATCCCCAAAAGAAATTCTACATCTTTTACCCATCATCCTTGATGCTTGCATCCCCTAGCCCTAGGCAAACACTAACCTGCTTTTTGTCTCCATAGATTCCCTTATCCTGAACATTTCATATAAATGGAATTATACAATGTGTGGTCTTTTGCGACCAGCTTCTTTTGCTTAGCACAATGCTTTCAAGGTTTATTCATGTTGTACCATGTATCAGTACTTCATTTACTTTTATTGACAAATAATATTTGGCTGCATAGAAAAAATAGTTTATTTATCCATTTATCAATCAATAGACTTTGGGGGTGTTTCTGCTTTTTAGGTTGTTATGAATACTGCTGCAATAAACATTCTTGTACAAGTTTTTGTATACCGAAATTACTTCTCTTGGGTGTGTATCTAGGAGTGGAATTGCTGGATCATATAACTCTGCTTAACTATTTGAAAAAGTACTAGTATTATTTCAAAGTGGCTACATCATTTTACATTTTCACCAACATTGTATAAAACTTCCCAGTTCTCTACAACCTTACCATCATTTGTTATTCCAATCTTACCATCTATTTTATTATAGCCATCCTAGTGGATGTAAAGTGGTACATTTCTTTCTTAACTGTTGAGCTGGATAATTTCTACTCATCTTTAAAGCTGCAGTTTAAAAATCTTACATCAACCACTCCACTCCCAGACTTGCTTAGGGCTCCTTTCAGAAAACCTACCTTTTTTCTCTAAATTTGAAGCTCAACATGATACATCACATTTCTGTTCTGTTTCCCACACTAGGCCCAATGTCTTGCCATTGCATAAACTATAGCATTGTTTGTTTAAAATGTGTTAAATGAATGACATATTAAAAATAATGAGAGAAAGTGTTCATTATTTGAGAATCACCTGAATATGAATAATTGACATATTTTCCTTTTAAATCGATTTCATTTTTCGGTATTCCTACAGACCAAACTGGTGAAGAATACTTTAATATCAATGGCAAAAGTAGGAAAGGGGCCCTACAATGTAACCATAATGAATGCTTCTATTTTCCTGAATTTTATTAAAGTTGTACACCTGTATGTTTGCTAACGAAAAGACTCTTTGTGAGGAAACAAATATCCACAAGCAAAATCAAATATACTGTGTATATAATTCTTTCTTAAGTCAAACAGTAAATAAAAAGAAATATTTTTTGAGAAATAAGAAACTAAGGGGAATTGGATTTTCCTGCTTTAACTTTCAACATGTCCATACCCCTAGAGATTTCAATTCAGAAGACCTGACATGGGTTCCAGGAATATACATGTTTGACAAAACGCCTAGTGATTCTAATGCTAGTGGTCCATAAGCTGCATTTTGAAAAAAAATTTATCCTAGTTAATGTTCTCATTATTTAACATTAAACTGGTCAGTGTAGAAGTGAATGAATCAGGCTTTAGAGTTAGACACAGACTTAAATCCCTGGCCCAACATTTACTGTGTAGCTTAGAATGAATTACTTAATCTCTCTAAGCCTTAGTTTTCTCATTTATAAGGGAGGAAGGAGAAATAAAGGGCCCACATTATAGTGCTTGTTGTGGGTATTACATTAAATAATGTACACAAAGCAATATTTGGCACAAAAGAAATGCCCCAATATGTTAGTTGATTTTTTTTATCATTATCTTAATTGGAAGATCCTTGTTTTAAAGAGATCAAGTTTTACTTAGTAAGAAAAATACTTCCTAAGCATAAGTTGAAGTTTACCAGGTTTGTCAATGTCTTTATCATCATTGTTATTTTTATGAATAATTTTCCAAGTGGCACTATCTTATCATAAATAAGCCTCAGTCATGTCTATTGGCAAGTGCCTCCCTAATAGTCATTTCTGAAGAAAAATTTTGACTGCTATGTTAAATTACAGGTCACTACATAGTTCTAGTTCACACTATGAGCTACTACATTGGATATAACACATCTTCCTTAGGTGTTATTTACTGAGCAGAACATGTTGCCAAACCATCTTATTTGTCTCTATCAAGTGATATATTGAGCCTGGATGCTATCTGGATAGAATTTACTTACTAAAATAGAAGTTCTGAACATTCAATCAAATTAGGATCAGTACCTTTCAGAATCAAGAATGTTCATTCATTTATCCAAGTATTATTTATTGAGCACTTAAATAATGCCAGGTACTCAGAATACACAGGGAAAAAGAAAACCAAGATCCACCCTATCATGGTGATATAATACTCACTGCTGTGGAAGCAACAAAGACAGAAGAACACAAGTCACAAGTAATCATATTCATTACCAAGACAGCCTTACCTGGTGATGAGTGGAATGCATGACATTAAACAGCTTGGTGTGATGGAAAATGCCTAAAGGAAAGCAGCTACTTCAGATTAGTGGTAGCAAAAGAATGCCAAGGAGGCAGCCATGGGGAATGTCAGGGGCAGAATGATTTAAGGAAAGGGAACTGGCAATGACATGACCATAAAACCCAGGGCCATGTTTGGCATAACTGAGAAACAGAAAGCTGGCCAACATGTTTGGAACAGGGCGACAGAGGATAGAGCAGGAAGGGAAGAGGCAGGAGACACAGCTAGGGGCACTTGCTGTAAGACCTGGTGGACCTTGTTAAAGAGAGAAAGCACTAGAGGATTTCAACAGGGAAGTATCGTAGTCTAACTTATCATCATTTCAGGTTCCCTTTCCCTTCCCCTACTCCCCTCTCTCTGGGGCAACTAGCCATGATGATAACCAATTGAATGATGTTTAACTGCAATATTTATTTCCACATTTCCAGTCATAAACTCTAAATTTCTTAACAAATTTGCCACATGGACATGCCCTAAAACTCCGAAATCACATCTCACATTGCTTTAGAAGATGCAGGCACAAGGCATCTGGTTTTGTCTCCACGGCATTTAAAGAATGTCTCCTTAAATCTGGCGATTTAGGTTGCACCAGGTGACGTTTGAGGTGCCTACCTGCGAGGGAAAGGAACGGCAGAAGCTGGCATTGATTGGTGACTCCTCGTCTTCAGCAGAGTTCTTCGTCACCGTCGCTGTCTTCGCCTTCCTCTACTCTTTGGCTGCCACGGTCGTTTATATTTTCTTCCAGAATAAATATCGGGAAAACAACCGGGGCCCGCTCATTGTAAGTGGTTTTTTTTTTTTTTTTTGAAATAATTTTTTCTGTCCCTTCTCATTTCTTTTACTAATGTTTGAAGGACTTTGGAGTAGGTATTTGAACTCTCGGGGTAGGTATTTGAAAGGAAATCATACACTTTTTAATCCAAATCTCTCGAGTTGCCAACAAAAACATGATGTTTATCAATCTCCTGAGTTTCAGGGCTAAGAAAGTATCACACAACTTACTAGAAACCCTTCGGAAATAAATGATTGGAAATTTCATTATATCAAGGAGACAGTAATGAGGCTTGCTGCAGATTTCTTTATAATTCCCACGTTATAGAATCAGTCAACCATTTTTCTCACTGGTTATTTAGACAATGCAGCTTGTGCTTATTTGAAATGTGTTATTCCCCTAGCATATGATAGAATGGGCACAGAACAGTTTAGTTTGAAAATGGAGTTCTTCATGTCTTACTGTCTTTGTCTCTCTCTGTCTCTCTCTCTCTCTCCCCCCATTTCCACTACCAACCCCTACCCTCATCCATTTTCTGTTGCCTCATTCAATGGTCCAAATACTCATATGAATGAAATTAATGTAACCCAGCATCTCCAAATGTGGTCACACATACACCTAGTGTGACATAAAAACTCTAAGAGGGGTACCTGGACATGAATAATGTTTGGGAAATAAATTTTAAATTTTTCAACCCTCACATATACATTTGGCTAAAATCTATCTTCCTGAGAATGCCCTGCATCTGAAAATATTTTGCTGTCTTCTTTCTTAATCACCTCCCATTTTACAAAAGAAAAGCATCCTTTTCTACCAACTCAAATCTTTCTACTGAATGCATTTACAAAGTATTTGAGCCATTGAAAAAAGGAACTGTTTGAAATATTGGTGTACATGCTGACAAAACCGAGTGGTTCTGATGCCTGGGTAATGTACTCTTAAATATTAGGATTTTCTAAGTTTTTTGTTTTCAATAAAATTAAAAGTCCTAATCTATTCATCAGTTGATAGATCATTAAAAATAATTTTTGAAGACAAATTACTATGCCATCTGGAACTTATAACTCAGAAAAAAAAAGTTAATGATATTGCTATAACAAAACTCTATTCATTCCCATCAACTCATATATGCAAGCAAGCTTTCCCAGCATTCACATCTATAAATAAAAAATGGAGCCGGGCTCGGTGGCTCAGCCTATAATCCCGCGCCTTGAGAGGCTGAAGTGAGTGAATTGCCTGAGCGTGCGGGTTCGAGACCCGCCTGGGCAACTTGGCGAGACCTCATCTCTACAATAAATCAAAAATTAGCCCAGTGTGGTAGTGCGCGCCTGTAGTTCCAGCTACTCGGAAGGCTGAGGCGGAAGGATCGCCAGAGCCCAGCAGGTCGAGGCTGCGGTGGCCGGGAGTGGTCACTGCACTCCAGTCTGGGCGACAGAGTGAGACTCCAACTCAAAAAAAAAAAAGGGAATACAATTTTTTCTGAATCATGTCCCATTCTACAAATAAATATTTGTCCAAGTATATGTATATAAACTGCTATGATTTGAATATGGTTTGTCCTCACCAAAACTCATGTTGAGGCTTAGCCCCTGATGTGGCGGTGTTGGGAGGCAGTATCTTTAAGAGGTGATTAGTTTGTTCAGATGGATTAAAGTCTTTCTCTCTGGAGAGACTAGGTTAGTTCTTGTGAGTGAGATTAGTTCTCAAGAGACTCAGTTAGTGTAAATCAGGTCAGCCTCTGTTGTCCCCTTTTTTCTTCTTTACCCAGTTTCACTTGTGTTTCTCCATCACGTCTTGATGAAGTACAAGGCCCTCCCCACATGTCACCAGATGTGGCCACCCAATCTTGAATTTTCCAGCCTACAGAGGCATGAGTCAAATAAATCTCTTTTGTTTATAGATTATTCAGTCTTGGATATTCTGTTATTACAAAGCAGACTGAGACATAAACTAATTGAAAAAAAAAAAAGCCCATTCATTTAAGAAGCATACATTTTTAATAAAATTTTTACTTTTTAATTTTGATAATTATTTATTAAACTTATAATATATTTTTGTTGTTTTGGACATTAATAATACTTGTAATGATCATCCAACCCAAAAGAAATTTAAACTTAAAGCCTTAGGGTCATGAGCAGTTAAAAACTAATTTAATTTTGTGTACATGATTTTGTTGCAAAGAAGTATAATAAGGTGATCAATAAAATGCTTTCCAGAAAAAAAATTATATTACACTATAATTCTGTGAGGGAAGTGTAAATGAAAATACAAGTTTAAAGATAACAAAAGATGTATAAAATTTCCAACAGTTAAAGAAGAACTTTTTCATTAATTTTTAAAGGATTATAGAGGGTATCAAGTTTCCAAATACCAAAGGTATTCCATTGGATACATTTAAATTTAATACCATAGTTATGTTTTTAAATATCAATACTTATGCCAGAAATTGCATTCTTTGTAACTATTTAAACTTAATAAAAGCAAGGTTAGAGGCTAACTTTACACAAGTAGAAATATAGTTTATAAAAAATTCTTTCAGGGTGTATGTGAATGAAATAAATTTTACAAATCTCTAATCTATATATTAAAGCTATCTCAACCTAAAAATAAACAAATTTTGAAAGGTAACTTGGAGAAATCCCTGTTTTTAGAACGTTGTTAAATTTGAAGGAACTAGAAAAAGTTCAGTTTGTAGCACTTTAACATATTAACACAGGATAAGAAGAGTAATGAAGCAGAATCTGAACCTTTGACCAGTTGCCTTTTCCCCCCATCTCAAATTATAGCTAATAGTCTTAATGGTTTTCAAATATCTTTGCCAGAACCACCTTACTTGGGCTCCCTTCCATGAAGTGCTGCTAGGTACACATAAAAGATTGCCATGCATATACCATAAAACCAACATGTATATGAGAAAAAAAACAGAATTTATTTATAAAAAATTGTGTATTTATTCTTACATGTTTAAACTTCAGTCACCTTCAAAGTATCCTCTGTTTGATGCAATACACCTACCAAGATGCTTTTTCCACTGCTCAAAACAGGTTTTGAACTTCTTAATTTTGATGATTTTTAGTGCTTCTGCCATTTTTTGTCTCACCTCTTCCACATGGACAAAATATTCCCTTTTAAGGACATTTTTTTTTTTAATGGGGGAAACAAACAAACAAAAAAAGTCTCTCCAGGCACGATTGGGTGAATAAGGAGGGCGGGACACAGAGGTCATGCAGTTTTTGGTCAAAAACTGCTGAATACTCAGCACAGTGTGGACAGGTGAGCTTGAAAATTACCCATCATGAAATGGGCAAACACACTGAAATAATTTCCAAAGCAAAATTCACTGAAGCCAAACACATCCTCTCACAACACTAGCTGTACACTGTTGCTGATGGGCTCCTAGAACACTTATCTATAAGGGGCCTGCCCTCTAAAAAGTAATTCCAGTTTTGTTTTGTTTTTTGGTCCTCCCTCACACACTCATTACTGGATATAGTGGACACTATCACAAAATTCTAAAGTCCAAGAAAATATCTTGACTTTCAAACAGAAGAAGGTGATGCATCTAGTTTGCCCATAAAGTGGGATAAGATCTATTTTGTTATATAGCACCACATTCTACTCATACGAAATCATCTTGTAAAGACATGCTACTTTATCTCTGTGTAAATAGTATTTCCTATCAAGCAGGATATAGTGAAATCCAGAATTGTGCAATACTGTAGATAGGTTTTGTTTTATTATATTGTGGGAAAAGGTGACAGGGAGAGAGATAATTCTAGTAATAAAAAAAGGCTTCTAGCCGGGCTCAGTGGCTCAGCCTGTAATCCCGCACCTTTGGGAGGCTGAGGTGAGTGGATTGCCTGAGCCCGAGGGTTCGAAACCCACCTGGGCAACTTGGTGAGATCTCATCTCTACAATAAATCAAAAATTAGCCGGGCATGGTATTGCACGCCTGTAGTTCCAGCTACTTGGAAGGCTGAGGTGGAAGGA